AGCAGCATAGAAATAGAATATAACAGAGTTAGAAGGGACCTTGGAGGTCTTCTAGTCCAACCCCCTGCTTAGGCAGGAAACCCTACACCACTTCAGACAAATGGCTATCCAACATCTTCTTAAAAACATCCAGTGTTGGAGCATTCACAACTTCTGGAGGCAAGTTGTTCCACTGATTCATTGTTCTAATTGCCAGGAAATTTCTCCTTAGTTCTAAGTTGCTTCTCTCCTTGATTAGTTTCCACCCATTGCTTCTTGTCCTACTTTCAGGTGCTTTGGAGAATAGTTTGACTCCCTCTTCTTTGTGGCAGCCCCTATATATTAAAATATACTTAATCAATGAATCAACACCCCCCCCCCAGGTGACTCCACCTTCTAGTCAAGTCAGTGCCAAATCATCATTTCATAACCTTAAAAAACAAACTCTCAAAAGTATTCCTTCGGCAGAAAAAAATAAAACTGAGAAAGTGCAAAGTGAATTTTGGCACAGCACGAATACATGTCTATGCAATGTTATTCCAAAGAAGCTCGGTAGTCCACCAATGATTATGTATTTTAGATTTCACATATAAAGATTTTAAAGGCTCGTCATTTGAGCTTATTTTCCGCTGCTCGATGGTCATCGAATATATTAAATCATTATTTCTCCACCTCAGCCATTAAGATACATGGACTTCAACTCCCAGAATCCCCTAGGCATGGTTGGCTAGGGAATTCTGGGAGTTGAAATTCATACATTTTAAAAGTTGCTGAGCTTTAAAAGCAGTGATCTAATATATTGGGTAAGCACCAAGCACGTGAAAATATAAGATCAAATGATAATCTTACATTATCGCAATCATGGTCCAACAGATTAGAGGGTGAGATTTTTAAACCAGCATATCTGAAGTTATCATGGTTGGAAAAAGCCCCATAGAATTTAGAGCTGGTACTCTGCATCAGACATAGAAACTTCAACCAATTAAAATTGGACATAATATAGAAACAGAAATCCCCAGTAAGCATAGAATTTACCCATCTTTATAAATGCTGACTCTTTATGTTGATATATAGCCCATTTTCTCCCATATTGGTGAAAAATGGGAGAAGACTCCAAAGATTGATGACCACTCATTACAGATTAACAGAGTTGGAAGGAACCCTGTAGGTCATCTAGTCCACCCCCACTACCCAAGCAGGAGACTCTACACCCTTTTTGACAGATGGCTGTCCAGTCTCTTTTTGAAAGCTTCCAGGGATGAAGCTCTCCCAACTTCTGAAGGCAACTTCTGTTCCATGGGTTGATTGCATCCTTCATTATTTCATTTACTCCAAAATATGAACTAAACCATTGCAGATATGTGCAGGCCTTTCCACCTAGGAGAATTAGTTATGCTCATAACTAATATCACTTGCCCAGAAATTTTCTTTCTAGAGAATTTGAAAGGAAGTCCACTTCAGCAGGAGGAAAAGGAGGAGGAGGAGCAGAAGCAGAAGCAAAAAAAGCAAAAGCAAAATCAAAAGCAAGCAGAAGTAACAACAGCAACAACAACAACAACAACAACAACAAATAACAGCACCTGAATTAGGAATCAGAAATTCGGAACCAAAACATATAGGCCAATAACGTTTTAAAAGAGGAACCTCCTTGCAAGTTTTGAACAGCTAATGTAAAAGATCATACCAAGTTCACAATGGCAGTAATGCACTTTTAAAAAAAACACAACTATTCCAACGGGATTTCTTGCCTCCACTCTGCTAACTTTCCTGCACAGAACAGACAAATGTTGGGCTTTAAACTGCAAGAAATACAGCATCCAAAATGAGAATTTTGACGTTTTCTCAATATCATACCCCCAGGAACAGTCAATGCAAACTCTTTCTCTCTTTTTTTCTTAAGCACTAATCAACAGGCCTAAAATAACCCTACAAAAAAACCACATCAAGCTGAAAATAGAAAATCAAACTTATTCCTCTCGGCTACTAGAAGTCTGGGGGCGGGGCTAAATAAAGCCATGTGACCAGAAACACCGGTTTTATGTTAGCTTCTTAATTAGCCACAATTTCCTGCTTTTTAAGCTGTGTTTCTCTTTCCTGTCATTGGGGGGGGTGGTGTATTCTTTCAGAAAGTGAGCATTTGAAAGGGACAATTCACCAGTTACTATTATTTTTATGTAATTTGGAGTAATCTGGGCTGTTGAACTGAATGGAATAGAATAGAATAACAGTGTTGGAAGGGATCTTGGAGGTCTTCTAGTCCAACCCCCTGCCTAGGAAGGAAACCTTATACCGTTATAGACAAATGGCTATCCAACATCTTCTTTAAAAACTTCCAGTGTTGGAGCATTCACAACTTCTGGAGGCAACTTCTGTTCCACTGATTCATTGTTCTGACTGTCAGGGAATTTCACATCAGTTCTAAGTTGCTTCTTTCCTTGATTAATTTCCCCCCANTTTTTGGAACCTCTTCTGTAGATGTGGCCTGCTTTCCAGGTCCACTGGTGGAACCTCTTCTAACCAGTTCGGTAGATTTGACAAACCGGTTCTACTGAACTGGTGCGAACTGGTAGGAACCCACCTCTAGTTCTCACTGCTAGGGGATTACTCCTTAGTTCTAGGTTGCTTCTCGCCTTAATTAGTTTCCACCCATTGCTTCTTGTCCTGGCTTCAGGTACTTTGGAGAATAGTTTGACTGCCTCTTCTTTGTGGCAACCCATGAGATATCAGAACAATATAAATGCAAATACATACAATAATACAAATAATACACAAGCACCCTGAGTGCCTTCCTTCGGTTCTTACCAAATCTTTTGGGTGGAGGAGAAAGGAAAGTGGGCTGTACGGATTTTGGTCCTTGGGTAAATAAATCAGGACTTGATGTGAAATAGTTGCTTTCCAGAGGTGATGGGACCTTTGGCTCAATATTAGAGTTGCCATAATCAAAGGTTGACTCTCCATGTTTAATGAGATGGGGTGAACCGTTTCCTCTCTGATTTACAAAAACCCACGATTTGTTCAGCTTCTCTTTATTGCCACCCAGAGAAAAGGACTCGGAGCGAATATCCGAAATACGTCGATGGCGTGGTGTTTGCACCGTGCCAGGGCTCAGAGAGAAGATGTTGTCACTGGAAGGACTTAGCAAAAAGAGGTTGGTGTCCATGGAACTGCTGTTTTTTAATGTCCTCTTCTTCAAGATCTCCTCCAGGTTCTTCTTTGTGTTACTCTGTGGACTGTCAAAGTTTTTGGATTGGAATTTTGGAATCTGCAAGGCAGGATTCGAAGCTTGGTCCATCATGTTGATAGTTTGGAGCTTCCTGCAAAGGCTGGCCACAGGATGATGGCGTTTCCCGCATGTATCTTTGGAAGACATTCTACCCCGTTTGAGAGGTTACCTAAAAAAAAAAAAGGGGGGGGGAGGTATAAAAAAAAATTAATGGTAAGATTGAACCTTCAGACAATTTCCTTCATTTATCCAAGATTGAAGTTCAAGGACATTCAAAGTTAATTTTAAAAGAATTGTAACAGCATTTTTCAGGTTTCAGTGTACAATAGGAACAACACAATTTAGCCAGAGAGATATCTCATCATTCCATCCATATAATTCAAGATTTACAGAGTCTTTCAGATTCTTTTTATGCATTTTTTTTAAATTAGAGCTATTTAAAGGATTTCTATGATTGGCCATCTCATGTCTGGGTAGCTAATACTACTAATGTAATTAAAATTTTAATAATCACGCCTCGAACAGATTAAAATAATCATTGCACATAGTTTACATTATCATAAAGGTAAGGTTGGTTCTTTTATTGGGCAGCAGGCCAGCTGCTGATTTATTTATTATTCAAAGAATCTAAACAATTCCAAAGGGCAAGAAACCTGGCAGTTCCAAAAACTATTGTAAGGCGTTCTAGTGTTGTTGTCTTTACATCTTTAAAGCAGTTTATTTATACATTTTCATTTAACATACATAAGTGTTTTGTGAACAGTGTATTGTCTGAGTCAACTTGCTAATGTAATAATAGATTTCCAGCTCCTAATTTCTACCTCTATTATTCAACCATTGATAAAACAAATCCCATGTTCGAGAATAGTCCATATAGAATAGTATAACAGAGTTGGAAGGGACCTTGAAGGTCTCCCTGCTTAAGTAGGAAACCCTACACCACTTCAGACAAATGGCTATCCAACATATTCTTAAAGACTTCCAGTGTTGGGGCATTCACAACTTCTGGAGGCAACTTCTGTTCCACTGATTCATTGTTCTAACTGTCAGGAAATTTCTCCTCCATTCTAAGTTGCTTCCCTCCTTGATTAGTTTCCACCCATTGCTTCTTGTCCTACCCTCAGGTGCCTTGGAGAATAGTTTGACTCCCTCTTCTTTGTGGCAACCCCTGAGATATTGGAAGGCTGCTATCATGTCTCCCCTAGTCCTTCTTTTCATTAAACTAGACATATCCAGTTCCTGCAACCGTTCTTCCTATTTTAGCTTCCAGTCCCCTAATCATCTTTGTTGCTGTTCTCTGCACTCTTTCTAGAGTCTCTCCTTTTTCTTTTATCTTTAATGTCAATCTATTTCTGCACAATCTAATATTTTTTTTAATTACATCTTGTTCTAAACTAGGTCAGCCCCCTCAACTTAGAATCCCATCATTCTATCCGTATAATTCCAGACTTACTGAGTCTTTCAGATTCTTTTTTTTTTTAATATATGTTTTATTGGTACATATTTTCATTAAAAAAAATTATATATCTATCTGAACAGTATGTTGTCTGGACATAATTGATTTTTAAGTAAAGGTACCACAATAACCATAATCGTACTAGTAATCTTAATAAACCTATCAATATTAATCATAAAATAATAAGACAATGCGGGTGTCCATCTTGCAATATTTTCAATACAATTTTTTTTATTATCCCTTTGAGTTCTTTTTAAATTCTAACCTCTGTTTTTTGTTAGTTAACCATTTGTAAAATATATCCCATGTTAAAAAGTATTCCGTTTCTTCCTTTTCTTTTATCTTAAGTGTCAGTCTATCCATCTCAGCACATTCTAATATTTTTTATGACACTTTCATCTGGGGAGACCTCCTCGTTTTCAGATTCTTATGGGAGTGGTCCTTGATTTACAATCATTTGTTTCAAAATTACAAGAGGACTGAGAAAAAAACCCCTCTTATGACCAGTCCTCACACTTATAACCATCCCAAGTCCCTTAATAAAGCGAAATAGGGTTTTAGAAAGTCGACACCGCCACGTTGAATGGGACCCAGAGACAAACTGGCAACCATTTTACCTGTGACAAGCGTAGCCAAAGGCAGGTTGCAACATCAGGGATACAATCGTTGCGTTTGAAAGGCAAAATGGCTGCCTGGGAACAAAATGGCTGCCCAACGGAAACACCACTTTCCCACAAAGTTTTCGATCACGCTAGCAGTTCGTTGTTCCTGCCAATCAAAAACATCCCCGTAAAGAAATCTGAGATGTTAAGAGACCTCTGCTTTGATCTTTGGCGTGCCAACTTCCTCATTAGTTGCTTTACAAAATTTATTTAAAGGGGGGGGGGGAATGGAACAAGGAAGAAGGTTAATGCGCAGGAAGGGGAATGGCTGGAAGCACAACTCTGCTTCCAATTCTGATATTGTATTATTGTATTGTATTACAATGCTTAGTTTAATGACCCGTGGAGAATTGTTTTTGATGGCAGCAGCATAGAAATAGAATATAACAGAGTTAGAAGGGACCTTGGAGGTCTTCTAGTCCAACCCCCTGCTTAGGCAGGAA